GAAGTACAAAAATGTCATGGTAAGAATGGGACTTGTGCAATGTTCCGGACAGAATGTGCCACCAGCCCATCTGAACCAGCCCAGCTGTGCCAGTCAGGAACAGCCTGGTATGGTCACGTGCACCTGGTGGTGCAAGAACTTTGGAGAAGTCCTTCCTCAAGGAAGAGGACCTGGACACCTGTAGAGAAGGAGGGCAGGAGGAAAGCAGGGCCCAGTTTCAGAGCAAGGCAAAAACCAAACCCACAAAAATACCTAAATATGGGAAACTTAACATCAAAATTCGGGTTCCTGATGTGAAACATCTTCCCGGGCCTGGCTGACAAACCAGAGCGGAGGGTGGTTTATGTGTCCTGGGGACAAACCCAGTGGATGGGCTGCCTGGATGGGTTGCCCAGTGCTCAACCCCTGGCCCAGGCAGGACCCACTGGCTGGCAGCTGCTTGCAGTCCCTGTGGCAGTAAAGCAGAAGCACCCACAGGTTCCCTGGCTCCTGGTGTCTCCAGGAGGTCTCTGTAGGAAATGTAGACCCTAGAAACACCAAGTCCCTATGCAGTATGCTAGGAATCCAGGCAGGGCTTTTCTAGAAAAGCTGTAGGAGTTGGAATGTTTTCCAGTCGAGCACATGAAGCTCAACAAAGGAGTGTTTTTCCCTTTCTGCTCAGTGATGCAGATGCCATAGCATGCAGGACTTCTGCAGGAGCTGCAGACAGGGTGAGATCAACGTGCCATAGAAGAGCAAGCTCCTTGCTACAGGCTGGCCTTCTAGAAGGGAAATGGCAACCACACAAATTAAGGAACCAGCGGGATTGGAGGAATGAAGTCCAATAAATAGGGATAATTAGGAAATCCTTACAATGCTGTTTGTGTTGCAATCAAAGGGCCAGTTTGGAAATTCCAGGTCAGTTGCCCAGTTGGATGCAAAGCTTTGGCTGAAATACGTGGTGGTTGTGAATCTGTAGCCAATGAGGTAAACTGCAAAACCCTCTGAAAAATGGGCCCAGCTGCACGGAGTCTGTGATGAGCAATCCGATCTCCACTTTGTGTGACACCAGCTCTCTCCTGTGTCAGTTGGTGGGTGCTAAAGTTGCGGGCAAACAGTGTCACAGGGGCATTCACACACTCATGGGTGCTACTTGCTGGCAGGACCGTTTGGCCATGTGAGAGGTCTTACACTGAAAGAGGTGACTGCAGCCCTGTCACCGGGCAAAGAGTTGACTCTGCAGGCTGTCTCTTCAGGTAAGAGGCAGTAAGACCCTGGAGTAAGATGCTGCTACTGTTGGCATCTCTTAGGTGTCCTTTGTGAAAACACTGAGACAATTTTACATCACCGTGAATTCACTAGCTGCTCTGGAGTTATTCCTTATGTCTCCATGCTCAGGACAAAAGCTTAAGATCTCATAGTCCAGTTACTCACCTCGAATTGTAAATCGGCTACATTTGACCATCTTCAGGTAGCTACTGGCATGTGCTTTTAAGCAGAAGTGCTGTATTAACTTATTTACTTCAGTAACACCATTATTTCTGCTTCTGCTTTATATTAAAAAGATTGAGCTTGTGTATTTCACAAACATTTCTTATCACCAGCTGTCACCAGCTCTGTTGGTTATTTCTGGGATCTCCATTGTCAGAGTTTTCAGTGCTTTAATACACTATATACATGTGCTCAGAGCAGTACAGAAAACAAAGGCAGATTTATTATAAGAAGCTCATGTGTAAATCAGGAGCTGAACCCAACAAAGGCATTAACACGGATGGTTTCTTAAAATTATCAAGTTAGAGAAGCCAAGAAAGCCAACAGACTGATGCTATTCCAAAAACATCTTGAACTCTCTTTGAAATATCTAAGCAATATAAACGAGCATGTAACTCCCACTGACAGTGAAGTTCCCTGCATAGTATACACAGCTCTGGCACTATGTGAATAGTAAATATGGTGTGGAAGAAGATGCCAAGAAACAGTCAAAGTTCTCATTGTCTGGACAGACAAATGCCATCATTTCATTGCAAGATAGGAATTTAAGTCATGTGCAAGGATTGAAATTCAGTGGGAAATTCTCCCCCAACTTTCAACCTATGTTACTCCTTTCTATGAAACCTACAGCAGATGGCCAGAGGGATGTAGAAAACACAGCCAAGAGAAACTACATGATTGTGCATGAAAGGCAGGAGAAAAGAGTTGGAAATCTCCCTCCCTAACAGTGTGAAAGGGACAGTTATTCTAACTCCCTTGAGACACCAGCCCTCCAAGTTCCTGTCCCCATTCCTGCATAGTAAGAGAGGAGATACTGCCTCTTGTCAACCACTGAACTGGAATTAGGATTGTAAACCATATGAGATTATGTTTACTCCCAAACTTCACCCTTGGCTTTCCAGCCAGCCTGTGAGCAATCCACAAGCCCTATCCAAATGAAAGTTTGGCTGCAAAATTTGTCAAATTAAAAGTATAGCACAAAACTAAGCTAGTCTCTGGCTGTTTACTCTGTGCTGGTCTCACACACAGATCTGTCTCTCTCACAGTAACCTAGCATAGCACCTGAGAAGTCCTACTGGCTATTTTACAGGTAGGATTGCTTTCCTTCCCTGTTCTGCCCAGGAAACTTCAGACTAGAACTTGCAAAAGTCCTTGGAGAGGGAGTGAACATGAAAACATGGGAAAAAAAACCCCACATCAATCTTAGTGGAAATCCTTGAATAATTAACAGGTTGGAATAAGAATGACCATAGACCCCGAAGTATGTCAGGCAACCAGCCTGCTCCAGGCACTGCAAGCTCACTCAGCCAGCCACATGCCTGGCCGTTTTGCTCTGCCAGCTTTACAAGACCTAATTAGCTCTATTCGTTTTGTTTGTAATTACAAAAGCAAACAGCCCTCAGAGAGAGAGGGAATAGAGGAGGCAGCAACTTGACTGACCTTAGGAAGATGTTTTAAACAAAAGGCTTCCCGCTCAGATGAACTTGAAAATATAAGAGGGATAAACCCAAGAGTCCTGGTGAAAGGAAAAAGATTTCCAGGCCAGGCAGAAGCAAGGGGGATAGAGCATTACTACCCTGGGAAGGCACCAGTGCAGGTTAGAAGACACCACCCTCAGCTGGAACCATTCTCTACCTGGCCTGCAAAAAAAGTGTACCTAACTGGTTGTACTTATTGTCACCGCTAGGAGATGAACAGTACTCTCCCAAAGGGGCGTTAGATCAAGATGGATCCTTCCAGGGCCTATCTCTTCATAATCCTGTTTACCCAGAAATGTCAAGGAATTGCACATGAGAGAAACATCAAGGAATTGCACATGAGTTAAGAGACACATAGATTGGCAGGTCTCTTCCTGCTCTGAAGGCAGAGCATGTCATGCAGACATCCACAGCCTGCACATATCCTAGCCCGGATAAAGCTACAGAGCACAAAGCAACGCTACAACACAAAACGCTCTCCCAGGAGTGCCTTGGCTCCACACCCCATCCCTCCCCGATTTCTGCAGCTCCCACTCCCCTGCATGAGAGCCATCTGCCTTCCCCCTGCCCCTTCCTGCTCCACCCAGGGTGCAGCCTGCGAGGAGCAGACCTTCTGGTTCCTGGGCTGCAATCACAGCAGATTACTGGGTGAGTTTCTGCCAGAGGCCACAACTCCCTGACTCACTGCAGAAGATCCGTCCCCACCTATGTCTGCTATAGATACACACAGCTGAACAAGCTCCATGCTGGCAGGCAAGCTCTCAAAAGCCCAAGCCCCCCTCTTCTCTTCTATGCACACTGTCCAAGTTCTGCTCAAAAAGACAAGAAATGAAGTAACACAGTCTGATTTTCCTTAAAAAAGTCCATTTATTGAAATTTTTTAAACACTTTATACAAGTTCCCAACACAAGCATCTGCTCCCTGGCTCAGGGTTAATGCAAATACACACAAGCACAGACTTCAACAGCTCTTTAATGTGACCCAAACTGCTACCTCCTAAGATAAGGTCTCGTGAGGCAGTTGCCGTGCACAGGCAATTCCCCGTGGAGAAGTGGAAGCCACATGACCCAGCTCCAAGTACAGGCCAACATCAACTGAAGCCTGAAGCAAATGCTCTGCTGGTTTCTTTCAGTAATTTTGAATTATGTTACAGAGTCGGGTCATAGGTACAAGGCTTACACAAACCACCACCACAGCTGTGCACAGCTCAGCCCTAGAGGTTCTCACCGTCTACAGAAGGAAATCAAGAAATCCGATGCCTCTGAACACATATACAATTATAAAGCCTAGTCAGAAGCAAACAGTTTACTTCTGTAGAAAAAGCAAGGTTGAGCTTTGGAGAACTGGTACCATCCTTCTAGGAATTACAAGACTTAACTCCAGCCAACTTAAGCCAGTGTTAGTCAAACACCAGGTGACTGACCGGATGTTTCCAGTGGAAAGGGTGGGAACCTTTGATGTGCTGCATTATTTTTAATTTTTTTTAGATATGACTTAATAGGCAAGGATGGCTTTATATTTAAAATGCTAGACTCTTCCTATTTGGTGAGTGGATTAAAAGAAAATGCCATAACCTTTGGGTCAGTTTTCTTGGAATTTGCCTTCATATCATCACTGGAAGTGTTTACAAGAAGAAAGACAGGATCAAACGGCAGCGTGTGAGGTATCCTCAGGGAAACATCAGGGAGCGGCAGTGCATTCAGTGTGGTTTAACACATTTAGCTGCATGAGGCAAACTGAGATCAGTAACTAAGCCCAAATGAGAAAGACTCAAGGAAAGACGAGAGTGTTTATTAAAAGGTGGCCTGTAACAAACGCGAGGGCACGAAGCTTCAAGCTCAGTTAGGTACTAGGGTGGGAACATGGAGAAACAATCACCAGCAGCACACAGTATCTAAGGACCAAGAGCAACAGCCCCACCAGAGACACCCAGCGAAAACAGAAGGCAATCGTTTTTCTTTAGCTCTACCCTGGCACCAGAGAAACCTGCAGCTGCTCTCGGAGTCTGCTAACCTCTGTAGTCAATTTTGCAGGCATTTGCCTGAGCACAATCAACTTACAAGATCTTGGCAAGAGTCGTGACATACGGTTAAGCCAAGCCACTTTACACTGCATCTTCTGCTGGCCAACAGCACGTGCATGGACAGTTACAGGTCTCAATGTGTTAAGTCACAGCAATTTAATTGTGTCTGACCCTTTGTCATGTCAATCTGCACATAAAAGAAGGTGCTAAAAATGACACCAATAAAACATTACAAGAGCATTTTAGATCTCTTCAAACATTCCTACATGTAGTCTTTTCCCTAAAATTATGTTTCCCCTTAAGCTATTGGTTTCATCACTTTGTATATGTGTTCCTTTAACTTCTATACACACCACACTGGGCTCTAACTTAATGGGATATGGGACTGAATTGTTACCATCTATTTTTTTTTTAAAAAAAACAACTAAAAAAGCACCAACATCCATCTAAAAAACAGTATTGTTTTTCCCTTTTACTCCCAAATACTAAACTTAACCCAAACTTGGAGGTTTCATATCTTTCCAGTGGCAATACCTATGAACCTAGGCTAGCCTTCCTCCATGGGCTGGGAGAGAAAGGAGAAGTTATGTCCAGTAGCAAAGAGGATTACAAAAATATACACATTTTTGGGGAGAAGAGGAAGGCAGAACCTAGAGTCTGAACTCTGCTCAGGACAGCGGCATTGTAGTGTCCTCTCCATAATGCTTTCACTACCAGTGCTAGCGGCTCCTTTTGTTTCATTATACATAATCCTTTCCTGTGGAGGGGGCATTTTTTGGATAGCCTCGGGTGGGTGGATATGAAGTTTCTCTCCGTGGACAGGAGCAGCAGAGGAAGGCTCCCCCCAGGATGGCCAGAGAAGCAGCTGCCCAGCCTATGAAAAGAGCTGATCCAAACTCAAATCTGCAGGAGAAAGAAGGAAGAAAGTGAATATCACAAGTAATGCCTCTGTATTACAGCATTTGCATGTCACACAAAGCAGAGGGGAGCTGAAATTGGGATGGAAAGTGGCTTCCTGCAAGGCAGCAGTTTGGAGCCACCTGAGACTCAGCTGGCCCTGAAAGCCCAGAGCTTTGTACACTGGGTTGGACCAGTCAGTCCATTCATCCCACACAACTGCAGCAGGGCCAAGCTCTGTGTAAATCAGGCCTTAAGCATTTAGTGGAGGAAAAACATAGCCCACAGCAGTTAGGTCTCTGGCAGTGATGCTGCTTTAAAAACAAAGCCAAGACTTATGAGCCACATAGATGGGATTGGGTCCTACTGCTCTTCCTGCACAGTTTGAAGACAACCTAGCTAGCTCAGGAAATTCCCTTCTTTGTTTTTGAGGCCCTGCTAGTCAAAACTAAGTCCTGTGAGCAGCTGTCACGCTATACCAGTGTGTTATATCAAATAGGTCAGTACCTGGTGTTGACAGGGGTGAAAGGGTCATAAAAGGCTCGAGCCACTCTGTTGCCATACCATGACGTGGCCACCAGCGCTGCCAAACCTGCACATGAGGGAAACATAATGTTATGACTTGTTAAGAAAAAATAAAAAACAATCAACGAAATCACTGCAAAAATAAGTGTGTGGCAGAACCAACATCTGGAGTGATGTTGAGCTCGCCACCCTGGGATGTTCCGAGCTGTTAATTTTGCTCCCAACCAGCAAGAAAGAAAGGATTTGAGGCCACCCACAGTCACACTGTGAAGCAGGGTGTACAGGTCAAACTCAGCTCTGCTAATAGAGATGGAAGGCACACAGTCCAAACAGAAAGTGTAATGCTGGTGCCAGGAAATCCATTTGATGGCACAGTAGCTGCTGGCTGAGGCAAAGTCCAGTAGGGAATCCCCAGTCCAAAATGCTCTTGGAGCAATGAGAGCAAGCCCTCCCCTGTCCTCTCACATCCTATGCAGGATAAACGCCTTTTAGAAAATAGCACATTTATGTTACCAACCTGCAATGATGAAGATCACCCCACCAAAAACAGCCATCCGCATCTTCTTCACCTGGTCATCTTCCATACACTTCATGCATTTCATGCCAGTCACAGCAACAAAGAGAGCAACAAGGCCCAGAAGTATTGCAGCCACCATCAGAGCCCGAGTGGCCTGCAGACTGCCTAGAAGACATTAGGATATTGATTTACCACAAAGGAAACTCAAGATATAAATACAAATTCAAATTACTGGGCTCAGTAATCATGTGTTGAAATCCTCTGCTCCTTGTTACATAGGATACAACCAAGCAAGACATTCCTTCTTAGCTTTAAGCTCTCAAAGACTGTCATGCATCAGGATCAGAGGACTCAGCTTCTTCCAAAATGCATGGCAAACAAGGGCATGCAGCTTTCTGCAGGAAATGACCTGGGAATTGCCCTCAGACATCTTTTGTTCCTTGAGCATTTGAATCCCAATTGGAAGGACATATCTGTTTATCAAAAGAAGTATTCAGATTTAGGCTCTACCTTGACAAAGCATTTAGGCACATGTTTTAATATGAATAGTGCCATACATATGAATGTCCCACAGCAGACACCAAGGCCCCTTTATAGTGCAACACTTCCAAAACCTGTCTTTTAAACAAATACCTCAGTGCTGATTTAGATTTTTTTTTTGTGCTAAATCCTCAATTTAAGTCCCAGAGGGTACAAAAATAGAATTGCAACAGAAACAGGATTTTCCCAGCCAAGCGAAAAATAGGGAGGATTTTTTTTCCCTACCTAAAATATTTAGCTTATTAGACTCAAAATATATTCAAATGTTTTAAGAGCCTCTTGTGCTTTTGAAGAGTTGGAGCATGGGGTGATGTCTCCCACAGGCAAGGGTTGCATTTGCCTGGATTCTCAGCAGAGTCAATGTATTTTATCTGAGATTTGGTTTTATATTGACTTATCTGAAGGCACAGACACACTAACCAACCCTATGTACATGAGCTACCGATTTTATTTTTTTCTTGATTCCAAAGAAGAAAGTAATGATATAAGTCATTACTGAAACTCGGGTGACAAAACAACTGAATGTAACAGTGATACAAGAACCTGAGCTTGATTGCCTGGCTGTTTGAACAGCATGGATTTTAATATATAGTCCTGTTAAGATATGGGAACAAACAGGGCTGGTTAATCAAAGGAGCAAGCTCCCAGGAGCATGCTGTAACCAAAGCACGTGTCCCTGGAGACAGAAGTGTATAGTGGCACATGTACAGGTTCAGCAATTAGAATCTGTTCGCAGGGCCGGAGCTCGCCAGAGCGCACTGACTGCATCCTGCTAGAGCTCTGCAAAGCACTTCAAGCTTGGCCAACTACAGCTGCAAGATTTAAGCCACCAACAGAGCACCTGCAAACTCACCAGTCAGCACTGGCCTGGTGATCCCATCAAAGCCTGTCTTTAGCTCAAGTCTGAAGCACCAAAAGGAGCTCAAACTTGATCTGATACTGGCCAACAGGGCAGCACAGCCCACACACTTATGCTCTACAGCTTCTTTACTACACCTCACCACACCGCTCCTTTTGCAGGGAAATACTTGTGACTCACACCAACAACAGGCTATCAGGCTCTAGTTCTGCTTTAAAACAGATCTGGCTCTCCCTTCACACGCACATCCTTATTGTTCCTTAAACCAGTTGAAAACAGTACGATAAAAAGGCAATATTCACAGCAATAGGAAGTGACATGCTTTCATAAGAAGATTCTTGGCTTTCTTGAGGAAAATCCCACAATCAGCTTGGCTAAATGTCATCTCTCACTTCCATCAAAGGGGAAAGGTGACACATCCCTGTATCACTCGGGCATTAATCAAAGCCCATCTGGCTGCATTGATTGCAGAAACCCATTCACAAAGCCATTTATCACTTTAGCAGAAATCACAACAGCAGTATCCAAACACATTTAACAGATTTATCTCCAATGTCAGAGATTGCACTGTAAAAATAATTTATAGTTTTCAAAAGTTATGACAAGTTTCAGAAAGGTTACCACCTTTTCAGACAGGTTACCACCCAATCAACTAATTCAGCTGCCCTACATTTAAGGCTGGCTAAGTTATGCTTTACAGCAGCAGTGCCAGAGAGGCCAGTGGCCAAACACTAGCTCATGTTTTCCATGGGAAAAGACATTTTCTGCAGAGGTACAAAATCTGTTTCATCAAGTCTACAGTAAATTGGGCTTGGTCTTACTGCAGAAGAAATTATAGGAGAGGGGTTAAAAACAGTTCTCTCATGAAGTTGAAGATAACATTTATCTCAAACTAGAAAACCAGTTAGAAGAGTGGGAAGAGACCTCTCACCTTCAACCATGGTACTAAGGGACAAACAAAGTAAACTGCTTGACAAAGTTTCTATGACCTCAGAAGACCTAGCAATGAAACCTGGTAAAATCGCAGGATGTACAAGTATGAACTGGATGCACACCACCACAGCTTTGCAGAAGCAGCTGAACAAAAAGCAGCGTTGTGAGCATTTCCCAGGGCCACCCACTCTCAGCAGCAGACCCTGGAAGGAGATCTCCTGGTGTCCTCACCACTCTGTTACTCGTGGCTCCATGGCATTGCAGGACAAAAGCATTTAGGAGGCCTGCAGTGGGTCAGAAATAGACCTCCCCTTTATCCTAAGAAGTTTTGATGTGACATGGCTTTATTAGACAGTTGTCCTCCCCTCTGCCCAGCCTGGATGCCCTGTGCTCAGCACGGCTGGGAGAGCAGTGCTTTTGTCTTCCTACCGCTTTTGCAATATGTGCAGTACATCAACTGCGGTTAATCATCACACAAGCTATTGGTTATTATGTACACATTAACAACTGTGTGTAGTCAATGGCAGCTGCACATCCAGAGGATGAGAAAGCTAGTTTAATAATAGTTCTGTTGCTTACACGGGCCTTTCCAGGTGCTTTAAAAATCCCCAGTGATTTAAGTATAATATTGTCTTAACCTGCTAAACAGGACTGGCTACTGACAACAAGTAGTAGTATTCCACAGCAATTTAACTTTACAACTTCTATCGTATTTGAGAGAAACAGGATTTCCCTCACGCTCCTTGCTGCTGCAGCTGCCTCCCTGACAGGAACAGGCAGTGCGATGCCTGTAGCCTCCCACACGTACACCTCGGCTGTCGGAAAACCCAAGCTGTCTCAGGAGCCCTTGGGGAAAAGACAGTCCTGAACACGGTGAGACAAACTGGCCTGGCACCCAACCTCAGCTGTCAGGTGGCATCAGTGTTTTGTCAATATAAACCACTATTGACAAGCCTTTTTAGTGCTGGTTAGTACTGAGAGAACTGGCCTGAAGGGCCTAGAGCAAGAAATCAGCAAGTGCTGAAAAAGAGAGGCTTAAAACTACTGAGGATGGTAAATAACTAAGGTCAATTCCACAAGCCATAAAATACTGTGTAAGTCTGCAGAAATGACACAGCACCTCACACCTGGTCCACATCATTAAATCTACTTTTTAAAAAAATATGCTAACAAACGGTTCTGAGTTACTGTTATAGGGTTTGGACACAAACTACAATGATGCACTTTATCTGAAGCATGCATAAGACTTTTTTTCTTCCCACAGCTATCATTACTTGACACAAAAGTAATTGCTTGCAACTGCTTAGTTGTAAAAAACTACTCTACCAGCATATGTTTGAGGCTTTTTCTCTGTCATCGCATTTCCTTATTTATTCTGTTTGTCATCTACATTATAAGAAAAACTGTTGGGAAAGTGCCATGGGATTTTTGTAATAGCTGTTTGTAATGCAAAATTGCAGTAATGGCTCTGCATGCGCAGATTATTTTCTGATAGGGATGCTCCTTGACTGGCTTGTTTGTATTTAAACTACAGACTTTGCCCTCCCTTCCCAGGGGCCTCCACACGATGACAGAATACAGGTGAAACAGATGCGGTGCAGCTTCTTCTAACCTTTGCACGCTAAGTTCCTCAGGAGTTACAAGCACCCTTGTAGCCTAAGAAGCACGTAACACAGTTCACATCCAAGAGAAGTCGGCAGCCTTCAAAGCCTTCCCAGTGGGGTTTCATGAAAGCTGAATTTCCTGGAAGGAGTGGGATACAAGATTCTGCTGTTTTACCCTGCCAGCACATCCAAGTTACTTTTGAGCAACAGGCAAGGGATTGAAGATCTGAGCAAGCAGAAATGTCTTCAGAGGTAGCCAGCAAGCATCTCACACTTTGCAGTCTGTCTGGACCCAGAAGCCTGCTAATGGCTTGAAGGCTTTCAACTCCCTTATCAGCCTCCTGCAAAGACCCTGTACAGCCATCACCATCAGATATTCCAGTCTGACCTCCTCCAAAGCATCTCCCCACAAGTCTAGAAGACTGTACTCAGGAATTTGGGCAGGACACAGACTCGTGGTCGGGTTTCTTGCCAAAATGGGAAGCCCTTCCTGCATGTTCAGTGCAAAAGAAGCAAGGTTAGTAGGTGACAGTGGCCTTGTACTCTGCCTACCCCAAAGCAAATACGGTTCAATGCCCTCCTGAAGTCACTGAAAGCAGCAGAGGAAGCTTATCGGCAAGTCAAGGCAACTAACAGTACCCCCATTTCCAGATTCCTGGGCAGAGGAGACCCGGGCAGCCCGTTTTCCCATGAAGCATGGAAATTCCCTTACCAGGAGATTTAGTAACACATAGTAACACTAGCTACTAAAGCAGCTTAAAAGCTGCTTGCAGAGCAATAAAGCCAGTGTATTGCAACACATTCCCATCCCCTTACAGACATAACACAGCACCACACAGGAACAGCCTTGGTGGCATTCCAGGTAACCCTCTACCTTCTCAAAGTATGGCACAAATAAGACTGTTTTATCAGTTGATCATGATTTTTCATGAGGAAGGAACAGGGATTGAGAAACATGGGAGCAAATTAACTCTTAACCCACATGAAAGCACAGATACCAGCAGGTTCTACCTGCCTAGTCCAGATCTAAAGATGGAGCGGTGACAAACTATTTGGACACATTTGTCCCTCATGCTATAGCTTTGTTCCTCCTTGGCCCACCATCCCAAATCCCCCACCATCCCAACAGAGCAGCCGTAACCTGAACATGAACCCTTCTGTCCCCCCCATCAATCCTCTTTCCCAGCTGCTGGAACAGGCTCAGCCAGGGTGGTAAAGATGTAGGAGGCAAGATTTCACATTTCAGTGATGCTGTTTGACCCAGAGGGCATCCAAATCCTTGTTTATTTTCTGGGCTAGGGCACAAAGGCTCATTGTGGATGTACTAGGTTTGGTGATGAAGTGGTAGATGAGTCTCAGCTTGTCAAGCACAGAACCTCTCCCAGTAAAACCAAATAGAGCGATGAGTATCTTCAGCTAAAACAGCCTAGACAAGACCGGGAACAAGCTATTCTCTGAACAGGAGAGTGTGGTTAGGTGGGGCTGAAACCTTCCAGAGACAGGTACCAGAAGCCCTTGTCCCTCCTGCCTGAGACCATCCCCGAGACCCTGGAGGAGCACAAAGCTAAGCTAAGCTCCATGGACGATGCTGGAGGGCTACAAGAACAATGCTGAGGCTGCGCAACAAAGCCTTGTTGCAAGGGTGGCTTTTGTTGCCTCTATGTCTGCTTGTGGCCACGCACTGCTTTTCATGTAAGCCAGCAAAACGCAGCCTTTCTATTGCCTGAATAGGAGCACTGACATAAGCCCTCAGCTGAACGCAGCTGCGGGAGAAGTGCCAGCATGGGTGCGCTCCAGCAGCATGGCCACACGGGAAGCCAGAGGCCCCTCAGTTGGCTAACGGTGCTCATCAGCTTGTGCCAACCTCATCTCTGACCTCCAGCATCAGTCCAAGCAGCCAAACACTGACACATTTAGAGGAATGGCCGTAGCTACCAGATATGCAAAAGCTTACTGGCAAGGCTCTCCAGCATTCCCACAACCATGAATTACTGCAGGTGCAAGAAGGCTCAGTCCTTTCTACAGGTACAAAAGTAATTACAGATCTGAGCCTCTCCCATCAGCATGTGAGGCTCTGACGTGTGGCTCAGAGCATTCAGGGCAAGCAAAGTTCTGGCAGAAAAGCGCGGCAAGGCAGAAACTTTTATGCCCACACAGTTGTGTCACCTCTGTGACACAATGAACGCAGTAAGGGAGTTCTTACTGCACAGCTGTACCTGTCCCAGGGTGCAGCTGCTGAAGGGGGTAGAAGTGGGGCTTTTTCACACTTCCACCCAAAACAGCAGGGGTATGGATGGGTCTTTTTCACATCTCCACCCCAAACAGCCCTGCTGTTCCCTGCCCAAGACTACGTGGTTGTAAGACCATGAAAGGAGACCAGGCAGGAAAAAACCCAACAGGTAAGGTGTACATCCCTAGGCACGATTTACTTTCAAGCAGGAAAGGCACAACCTAAGCAAGCCGGGGTACGGAAGAACAAGTGCTTTAGCCAGTTCTCACTGGCTTTCCCAGCGAGGAAAACACCCTCTGCTATTTCCATATTTCTTAGACTTCTTGGGAATCTTCAGGCAAGCATGCCCTACCGAGCCAGGGGCTCTGTCGGAGCACAAAAGGCCACTAATAGCTCAGCCTCTGCCCCTGGCACCTCAACGCCTCCCTCCCCCGTAGCCCTGGAAGAGAAGAGCCCTTATTGTTTGCGAGGACAAAGGTGAGGGGAGCGGCTGGTTTGCAGCGCTCAGCCATGAATGGGCCAGGTCTGGAGGTCCTGGGGCAGGTTTTTCAGAGTCTGTTCAAGCCAGGCTCCGCATCGGATTCTGCGGGCAGGTCTCATTTACAGCACAATAGGCTGCAGCCGCACGGCCCACCCCCCCCGGGCAAGTTTACTTTTCGCAACCCACCCAGGGGGCGGCTGGAGATTCCTCAGCATTGCTGGCATCTTCACCCCTCACCCCCAGTGCGAGATAAGAGGCTTGAAGCTGAGCTTATACATAATTACTACTCAAACCACCCCAGCCTGTGTGCTTAGCCCAGCCCTGACCATCCTCAGCCCTGCACCTTGCTAGCGCTATGTGGGCGCACCACGCTCCTCAGGAGAGCGATTTACCAGTTGCAGGGCCCACGGGCGTTCGGGGCGAAGGAGCAGAAGTGACTGATGTGGGCTAGCAATGGAGGTGCGGTCCGAGGTGTCCGGCTTCACTGCACTGACACACAGGAAGGGTTGGTGGCAATCTTAAATCGGGGATACTCCCAAAGGGTCCCCAGCTAATGTGAAACTACCTGCCCAATCCTTTGGGAAAGAAGGTGACCAAGGTGGTAATTATTTTATTAATTAGGGAGGGAGAGGGGTTAAGGTGTTCCAGGACACTGCTGGACTCGGAACGAGGGGAGAGATAATGAAAACTGATGATATTTTCTTTTTTTTTAAAAAAAGCCCTCTGGGTGTCAGCCTGTTATAAGCTCCAGCGCTCTGCAAACAGCCCTCACTGGGGCTCCAGCTCAGCGTGACCGCCCCGAGTGACACCCCAGCAAGCCAGGCTGCAGCTCCCATATGCATGAGATGGCTTCACCACCCCAGGACAAGGGACTTTGAGATTGCCTATGTGTTACTGCTCTGCCTCAGAACTACAGGTTGCGCTACCTGGGCTAGAGTCCAGCTCACCTGCCAGCCCTTTGCTCAGAAGCCCCACGGGAGCAGCAACGACTTGCCCAGAGAACAAAAGACCAAAACAGTCAAACGCA